AGACTGTTAGTCTTCATTGTAATGCCAACTCTGATAAATCAGCCGTTAAATAAATCAGTCTGATAAATACTGAGGAGAATGTGAGATTTAGTGGGAAAGACTAATCCTTAGCAATGTTTTCTGGACCAGGGATCTACTGCTACCTAACCTGCCACCCCAAAACTCAGGGATTAAAAAAAAACCCAGCCATATTATTTGCTCACAGTTCTGTGGATTAGCAATTTGGGCTGGTCTCAGGTGAGTGGCTCTTCTGCTGGCCTCACCTGGGGTGCCCAGGTGGCTGTGACTGAGCTGGGTGTTCAAAGGTGAGCTCACTCACATGCTGTCAGCTTGGCCTCCAGCTACCCGGTGCTCAGCTCCAGGAGGCCAGCCAGCGTCTTCCTGTGCTGACCTCAGGTTCCAGGAAGGTGACGGTGGAAGATGCAAGGTCTTTTGTGGCCCAAGGTTGGAACTCCTGCAATGGCACATGTGTTACATTGTATTGATCAAAGCCAGGCACACGTCTACTGGACAAGGCCATGGGGAGGAGGAGAGGACTGCCAGTTGATCCTGGGGCTGGACCGGGCAGGGCAATCAATAGGCATCTCTCACCCCAGTCCCTATCTTTGGAATGTACCCTTTGCCCACTGTTCCCACAGTGGGGGAGTTTTCAAGGGCGCAGCCTTGAGAGAGCACTGTGTTGCTGAGACCAGCTGGACTGAACACCAGACCGAACCCCATTAAGGCCTCTCTATACACTAAACTTCAAGGATTCCGGCTGGGGGCATGATGGGGGCGTGCAGAGATCGACTGTTCTTGCAGCTGCCCAAGACAAGCTCCTCTGTCCATTCCCGTGTTTATTACACCTGCCACTCTGGGATGTGGCAGCTGTGCCAGTGTGGGATGGCCTGCCTCTTTCTTCTGTCTCTCCGTGCCCTCTGTGTACAGGGGGCCAGCTTACAAACCGACGTCCGGCACAGATTCAAAGGCGCACAGATAAATTCCATCTCGTGTTGGGAGAAAGAGGCACGGGCAGGGCTTCTGGGGGAGGAGGATGTCCGTGGCCATCTTTGAAATGAACCTGCGGCATTTCCGAAGGGGGCGAAGGTATGGGGAAGTTTCCCACAGGAGAACTGAAACACGCATCCTGGGCAGGAGCCAATCTCGTGCCATTTGCCTTTAACCAAGCTTGCGGATGAACTGTTAAGGTTTCTTTTTAAGAGAGGGAAGGATTATCTGAACACCCTAGTAAACACCCATCACAACGCAGGGGCAAGAGCCAGTGGCCCCATCCCTACAGGAAGATTTAAGTGGTTTAATGAACTCTCAGTCTTCTAAAATATTGCTCATCTACAGCTGTTTTGCTGGTTTTGAAATAAGGTGAATGATACCATAAGAAGCACTTTCTTACGCTTGCTTTGCTAAATATACAGCCACAATAAATTTTCCTGGCCATCCGATTAATTTAGAAAGGTAAATGAGCTTAAAATATGGTGTATCACTTTTGTGAGAGAAACGAAAGCAGACAATTGAAATCCACAAATATCCCAAATAGAAAGGACTGGATCACAAGGAACATGGGCCACTTTGCAATAACTGGATTATTTCAATCATAAAAAGGGGGAGGAAAAAATAACAGGATGAGAACGAATGTTTTCTGCACACCTACTATGTGCCAGCCATCTTGCACACATTCCCTCCACCATGGCTGCCAATAATGCTAAGTGCTAAGTAACATCACCCCTTTTACAAAGGAAAAACCTGTGGTCCCACAAGGCAAATCCCTTGCTAAGAGTAATCACCCAGATAATTCAAACGCTGGGACTCAACAGGAGTTTCCCCATTGTCCTCGCTCCTCTCCAACATGTATTGAGATTGGTACATATTTTATACTTGTATTCAAATTATGCACATTTTAGCCTACTTTTGTAAATCTATAATTAGACCATAAGCATTTTCAGCTGCAACACAGCTTTCCAATTACCCTTCTTAATAGCTGCATACTATTGAATATTTCTTTGATATGTGGGACCATTGATATGTGGGACCATAATTTACTTCACCTTTCTCCTGCCTTAGATATATAGGTTGCTTAGGGCTCAGAATCACGGACGAGACTTAATCTGGCTTACAAAGGTCTCTAGGGATGGTTGTAATTCTTTCCCTGGACAAAATACCATTTTTATAATTCATCGGGGCCTTGTCAATCTATTTTCTTAGTATTTTTTATTATTCTCCCTTGAAATGGTATTTATTAAGCTTAGATCTGCTTAGCAAATCATGGGGGACTAAGGACATGAAGTTAGGCATGTACTTATGTGCCGAATATTCCTACACACTGCACCTGAACACCTCCTGCTTACCTGAATGAAGAACGATTCTTTGCCCCCAACAAACCTCTTGGCTTAGTAACGCAGCACCTTCAGACTCACCTGGAGGTGCTGTCCCGCGGCAGAACCGCACAGATCAGAATGCATGTCCGCGTCTCGCCAGTAGATGTCTCTCTTTCATTCACCCTCTCTGGCGGGCTCCTCCTGAATGGGAAGGCTGGGGAGCCACACAGAAGGGTGGGAGGTTGTCCCATCCCTCGGGTCACCCTCCACCAGCCTCCACCTCCCCCCCACCCCGCCCAGTTTTCTGATTCATGGCATAAAGGTAATGTAACAGAACTGTCGTTTGAGTTTCAACACATTCTCTCCTTGGCCCCATCTTTTTGCAGGGGGACTGGTAACTGAAAGCACTCTCTACAGAGCCCGAGACTTTCCTCTTTAAATAGCACTGCACTCGGAACCAAAAGCTGCATGACTGAGTCACAACAATTAATTACACTGGGAGGTGAGAAGACAGGATTTAACGCTCTAATGGGATGTGAATTGAGGCCCGTTATCTCATCCTACTGCTATTTAAAACAAAATCACTTTTCCTCGGAGGCGTCTGTGACTGAGGATGGTTTCAGAGCTTAAGTCTGAAGACATCCCTGGCAACCGAAGATGCCTGTTTTAGCTTCCTGAGTGGCTTAATGGGCACATTTGGATTTTCTAGATTTTTGTCACGAAGGGCATCTCTGTCTGCTTTGGGATTGGATAGAAGAGAATTAGGAGGCTGGGAAGGTCTATTATTGTCACTAGGATTTTTCAGGTGTGGGAGTTGTGCAAGAACAGTTATCGGAGAAGAAAAAAAAACCATCGTCTTAAAACAGAGACCACATGACCAAGCATCTGAGATGCCCGTCCACGTAGGGCTGGCACCCCAGCCGCTCATCCCGAGGGGGTTATTGGCAGGCCCAGAGCAAGTGGCAGGGACTGTGGGAGCAGCAGAGAAAGTGAGTCCTCAGGATCTGCAGTCGGGGGGGTTGGGGGTGTCTGGGGACGTGGAAGGGTGTGAGTGAATGGGGGGGTCCTATGGCCATCTGGGGAGACAGAGACCAGCCTCTCAGAAGCCCGTCTGTGGCTTTGCCAGAGGCTCCTGCGGCACCACGGGCTCCTGGCCCTGCCTGGGTGGGTGGAACCAGCCAACAGCGGTGAGATCTGGCCTGGGAAGGAGCACCACAGGGAGGTCGGAGCTCTGGGTCTGGAGCGCCACCGGGCCACCCTCCTCCGAGTGACTCTCCGTGGATCTTTGCTGCCCAAGCCTTGGGAGACACTGGACTTCTGTCCCTCTGATTGCTGCTGGGAGGATCTGAGGAGCTGAGCGCTGGGCTCTGGAGTGCTCCGGCGTCACTCTACACGCACACACGATAATGGACAGAGCATTCCGGGCGGCGTGGGGTGTTGGTTTTGACAGTGTGAGGGCTGTGCACGTGTCCCAGGGTGACCCAGCTCCCGCCAGCCCCGAGGCTCAGGACCCCACCTCTTGAGAGCCTTGGCCCCTCCAGACACTGCATTCTCGTTCAGATCTCTCTGGTCCTTCTGCCCCACCATCTCCTCCTCCCACACTCCCCGTCAGCCCTCCAGAGGCAGCGGGGCACCTCTGTCCTGCCCGGTTCCTCCTGCCCAGGACCCAGGTGGCTGCTCTTTTCTCCAGGTGTTTCCACGGTCCCACAGCCGTGATAGCTGCCTGGCCAGAGCTCTGGCCTCGAGGTCGTCTGAGTGCGCCCTCCAGAGGCCCAATATGTTCTATCTCTAGTTGGGGATGTCAATACTCCTCTTGCCCAGTTGTCCAGAAGATGTGAAGGGCCAGGCCATTTTAGGAAAGGGGATTATGTAGGGGAAGGGCAACACTAGCCTCTGCACCTGGGAGCTCAGGGTAGCCGGTGGCTTACCTCTGGGTCCGCAGAGCCCTGCAGCACCTGGCAGATCTCAGGGATGGAGGATGGAGGATCTTGGGCTGTCCTCATGTGGCTGGATGTGCCCCAGTCTTCGCTGTCATGTCGCCCCTCAGTACAGGTTTTGGGTCTTACTCCAGACGTCCCCAGGGCCCCCATCTAACAAGCCGTCCCCTTCCCTTCTTCTCACATCAGCTCTGATTTGTTTTCTTCCCGACATTTATCATCACCTGGCCTAATACTTGTTCTCGTGTTTTCTCGTGTGTGTGTGTGTGTGTGTGTGTGTGTGTGTGTGTGACTGTCTCCCCAAGTAGAATGGAGATTCTTCTGTTCTGTGTGACTCTATCCTCAGACCCCAGCTCTGGGACTGGAGCATGTAATAGGTGCTCAGTTAACTCGGGTGGGAAGAATGAATGGAAGTTCGACGCCCAGCACAGTACCAGGCACATCACAGGCAAATCAGAGCCTAGGGCGCCAGGGGCTGCGGTTTCTTTCATCAGGAAGCACCCTCTCCAGACCCTTCTCTTTCCAGCCAGTCTGTCCCCTCTGCCAGGCTCCATCCCCCCCTGGGGTTCCTGCCAGGAGCAGGGTCGCAGGCTCTGGCCTCCCCACGCTCCCCTCACGGGGATCTGGGGGCCGTCGCAGTAGGTCCCGCGACCCCCGCCGCCCCCGGGTGCTGGCTGTCGGGCGGGCGCCGGCCCCGGGCATGCTCAGAGCGCGCAGGTCCGGAGGCGGCGGCGGTGGGGGAGGAGGAGGGAGCGGTCGCCGCTGTGCGCTCGCGGGCCCGGGCGGAGCTGCGCAGTCTTCTCGCAGCTGCGCCAGGACAGCCGGCGCGCGGCCGAGCCCACAAGTTGCCGGCAGCTGAGCGCGGCGCCGCCCCCTCCTGCTTGCAGCCCCCTGCGCCCACCCCGCGGTGGTGGCCCGCCGGAGGACGCACATCCCGCGGACGCCGACCCCAGATGTAAAGCGGCACCGCAGCCCCTCGCCCCCCAGGCGCATCCACTGAGTCTCGCCAGCGTCTCCTCTGCCAAACCCCGCGGCTGGAAGATGTGGCAGCCGGCCACGGAGCGCCTGCAGGTAAGGGGCACCGGGGGCCAGCCTGGAGGAGGAGGTGCCCGGGCCAGAGGAGCAGAGCTGGCGCCTTTGCCCACTTGCAGGGATTTGCCCAAAACAACCGTGTTAGACGCATGGATAGGAACATGATGCTGTTGGCTTATCCTAGAGCCAGGCACCCGGCGGGGGCGAGGGGGTGATAAATTGATGAAGGCATCGCTTCGGGCGTCACAACTTTCGGCTTGGGGGTGCTGCTTGTGCGCGTGTTGGAATACACACGGTTGGGCTTTCTGACCAGCAATGTCAGATTGCATTCCACTGACACAATTTTACTGGTCTGGGGTTAGGGCTTTTGCATCCAGATATTTTTCTTCTTTCTGTCTCCAGGAAAGACAGAACAAATGATTTGTGAAAATATCCATTTGCCAATATACTTTGGAAATATCAGGCTTGGCTTGGCTTGGTCATGGTATGCTACTTCTTTCCTCCTTTCCCCGTTCTCCGGAGCTCTCCTGTCATCTCCCTTGAACCTACGCTCCCCCAGATATTTGAAAACCAAAAGTTCAGTGAAGCCAGGAATAATTATGTCCTGGGTCATCCCATCAGAAGTTTTTCATAGTTGTCTACTGAAATAAAACCCTTTCATTTGGATTCTGGAGCTATAGAGTTGGGAAGGGGGTCAAAGTGAGAAAGAGCTGCGTTTTCAGAAGGGACCCTGGGGACCCTGGGGACCCTGGGGTCCCCTTGACTTGAGATTTGATGGCTTCCTTTTGCCCAGAGATACTCTCAAGAGGGAGGGCAGCTGCCTTGCCAGATATGACCCACGGAGCCCCGCAGTGAACTTTTGGCAGGCTCCGAGCCACACTGTTCCGTAGTCAAGTTTGAAGAAGTGTCTAAGTGGTGAAATAGAGCACAGTTGGAGGCCGAGCGTGTCTGCAGAGTGCGGACGGTGGAGGCCGGGGGCCCCGACTGGCTTGGAAGGCTTCTCAATGAAAATTCAAAGCTGCAGACTGCCCTGCCATAGGCAGGGGTCACCTGCTTAGACCACCGCTTTTTAGCAGGGTCAGATGCCCCACAGCCTCTGTCTGCACCTCTCTGGGCCTGAGATACGCGGGGCGTGGGTCCACATGAGCAGACTTGGAGCTATCAGGCCAGTCCTAGGGTGTCAGACGAAACAGGAAAAGGGACCTGTAGCCTTGGAAATGGGGTTGGGTGGGTGAATAGCCTCTAGCCCCCTCCTTGTCTTAGTAAGAGAATATCTGCTCTGAATGATTGCTTGATCAAAGGTGATGTCAATGTATTTTGGCAGTGGCAGCAGTTACCAACTGTGTGTATGGATTCCTCCTTCCGTTTGGGGTGTGGATTCTGTTCTAAAGGAGGGGGCGATGGAGGGCTGCAGGGTGCAGGGCTCCCCATTAAGTGAGGTGGGTAACTCTTGGAAGTCCTCAGAGAGCAGAAGCCACCATTCCTTAAGGTGGTTCTTATGGCCTGGTGGTCAGTGCTGTGGCGGGGTTGGTGGGTTTTGTCCCTTGAAGTTATTTCTACCGGCCCGTTTCCTTTAGGGACTGCCGTGTGCTCCAGAGCCCGTGGCCCTTGGCAGGAGAGAGCTCTGGCTTGCGTTCCGCATGGCGCGCATTCCTCCCTGGAAATGTCCTCCTGGCTCTTCTGCGAAATGTACACACGTACAGTTGGCACGAGTCCGGCTCATTATGGTTCGTGTTTGCAGTGCGCGTGTTTCCATTGGGAGGTGTCATGTCGAGAGAGCCCGGGCTTTGGCTTTCGAAAGCTCGAGTAAACATGGCTTATCGCTGACGAAGATCCAGTCACTGCTGGACGGTACTTATCAATGTGGGGCTCGACCTCCTGCTCCTCAAGTTGGAATGCGTCAACAGCCCGGTGCTCTTTTGAAAAGTCCATCTCCAGCCTCGTGATTCACAGCGTGAGCCAAACGGAGAAGAAACCGGCTTCGTACTCATGGTTTCTCCCCCAAGAGCAACTCCACACTGTTTAAAACACTCCTACTTTGTATGTTTTTACTTTTTGCTCTGGGGGAGGGAGACGCTGAGTGTGAGGTGGTGAGTGAGCCGCTTGTAATAATATTTTATTTACATTCCTTGTGGTTATCTTTGTCACGGTCTCTGATGGCTGGAATTTTTTTTCCCTTCTGTGCCCTCAGGGCACCACCGTTTCTGAAGTTGGTTTCCGATTCCTCAGTGGTTCCTCGGTGAGTGGGCTGCATTAGCTCGCCCAGATCCTGGGGCTGTGGAACTCAGTCAGGTTCCACCGGGAAATAAATGGCAAGCCCACTCTTGAGCGAAGCCCCGCCTTCCTTGCACTAATTTTTTTGACCTTCTCCAGTAACCTCATTAATTTTTTTTATTAACTTTTAATGCAAACATTCTAATTTAGATGAGCGGGAGTGAAGAAAATGCTCCCAGCATGCGTTTCCCAGAGCTGCCTGTAAGGACCGCGTTGCCAATTTCTTGCACAGACACCTAGAAACAGCAGAGGCACCGGAAAGCGAAGAATGACATCTTTTCCTAGTTGGCTTTATGAGTTCCTATTTGATGAGGCCCCTTCAAAGGGCCCGCCGTAGCCCAGGGAATGTGGCAGAACTTTGCTGAGGTCAGTTACCCTCTAACTAATGAGAATTGAACAGATGGCATCTTTGACCTGGTGGGGCGATCAGGATCAATACCCACTTTTTTTTTGCCAAACAAAACGATGCCGACGTTTTCCCGGCATCTGAGTTTTTGCTGTTTGGCCCACATCTAGCATGGGGCGAAGGGACCGGTTGCCCCGAGCAGGCCCGAGCTGGGTCATTTCTCATTCAGTCACACAAACCGCGGCAAGTTCACCTGCTCCCTTGAATGTTAAAACTTCTGCCGCGTCGCACTGGAGCTCGGGCCGGGAGCTTCTGCCACGGAAAACATAATGGGCTCAAAAGGGATGTGAAGGTTTATATGACCACCCCAACTTTTAGAATCTGAATTCTTCCCTTTCACTGCCTCCTCTGAGCCACAGGCTTTTGTTCTTGGGAGGAACCGGGGAAAAGTTATACATTTTTAAAGAGAGATTTGAAGCAGGTTGTGCTCGGAGAAGTAATGGGGACTTTTCAGTAGAAAAAGGCTAAGTATGGTTGTTTAAAAATAGAGATGAGATTACCTCTGGCCTCCGTGTTTAAAATTTGCATGGATGTGTTCTGGTTGTCTTGGTTATTGGGCGGAGCGGATCCATTAGAAGGGACAGACTCATCCATGCCCTAGTGGGGACTCGCTTAGACATAAGGAGCATGTATTTCCCTGAGCGTATGTCTTCCGTGAGCTATCAGATTCTTTAAGTCAGGAGAGGAGGGGAGCCAGAGAAGGACGAATGGGGATTGTGAGAAACAGAGGCCAGCCCTTGCCCGGTGGCTCAGTGGGTTGGAGCGTCGTCCCACACACCGAAAAAGGTGGGGTTCCATCTTTGGTCCGGGTGTGAATGGGCGGTCCCTGACGGGTGTTTCTCACATCCATGTTTCTCTCTCTCACTCTCCCTTCCTCTCTCATTAAAATCAATAAAAACACATCCTTGGTGAGGAGCCACAAAAAGAAAGAAAGAAAGAGAAAAGAGACAAAGGAGGCCAACACGTCCTTGCCCGTGGTGTGGACATTACAAGGGTGGCGTGGGATGGGGTTGTCGGAAAGGATGGGGAGTGAGTCTGAGCAATTTCTAATTGCAGCGTCTGCGTCTAATCATCTTCTCGTGATGCATTCCATAAAGGTTCCAGTTTAATCATTTGCCTGTCTTCCCGGAGATTAAGATTCTCCGTGGTAGATCCAGGAAATACAAAGCTTTTATCCATCAAGTCCGATTTTGGCTTCTCGGCCTGGGCCATTTTTTTTCTGCCTCTTCACGTTCTTTTCCCCCTCTCGTTTTGGCCAAGGGCTGGGCGTTCGAGCCTCCAAAAGCGGGTGAAAAGAGGAAGTGTCAGGAGAAAGCCAGAGCCTGAAGAACTTCCTTTTGGTTCCCTGTTAGACTTTTGGCTGATCAAAAGGGTGATGTTTTTAACGAAACAGAATTTGGAGACTTTAGGAAGGAAGAGTCCTTCTTCCCCCAGGATTATCCTGCCCTTGCTCTGCCCGGTCACATCTGGTGCATCTCACCGTGGCTTGGACTGTGGGTTGCTTCCAGTTCATTTCTCTACTATGATGCCACTTCTGCTTTTCCCCTAAGAAGTGAGGCCGAAGAACCCTCCAGAACGTCAGCTGGAGACCGTCAGACCTGGCCCAGGAGGCAGAGAGAGCACCTTGGTAGACGGGACACATTTCTAGGCAGACCGAGTGGACAGAAGGATCATGGGGTGAGGAAGATAACGACAAGGCTGCTCTCATGGGACGCGTGTGAGTGTGGCACTGTGCTGAGGAATGTTCGTTGAATGATCCAGCTCATTCACCTCCCGTAACCACTCTTAGCCCCATTTTATAGATGAAGACCCTGAAGGCCAGAGCGTTGACATGGTGTGGCCAAACTCAGGCAGCTAGCGATGAACTGCGTGGGCACTTGAACCCGAGCTTACTTCTGAACCCCTTCCCTCTGGCACAGAAAGATGAGTCAACGCAGGATGCGCTACCCATGCTCCTGCCGTTGCTATTAGTAAATAGAATTAGAATAATAGTGGTCCTGTTTGCTCCAAGAGGCCACTTTCATATTTCCTGTTGAAGCGGCGTGGTTGCCTAGGCTGACCCAGGACTACCTTCTGTTTGGTGGCCCCGATCTCTGAGGGAAGCAAGCTGCCGTGTCACACTTAAGCTGAAATCCCCAAGTGCCAGCTAAGAAAAAGAAGATAAAAAAACACGTATAGTCAAATGACAGCAAACTGACAATTATGAACAACCACACCTAAAACAAAACCAAAGGAAACTAAGCAAACAACTAGAACAGGAGCAGAACCACAGAAATGGAGGTCACATGGAGGGTTAGCAACAGGGGAGTGGGAGGAGGAGAGAGGGGGAAAAGGTACAGAGAATAAGTAGCATAGATGG